ATAATGAACGCTCTACTTCCGTCATCATTCATGATACGTTTAACATCAGTATCCAAAATTCGCAGAGTAATAACGAGAGCGTCATAATGAAGAAAGACCAAACCATCGGCATCCGACTTGTCGAAGATGATACTTTCTTCTAGTTCGTCGTACCGTTCACGGGCTGATGCATCACTTGAGTTTGTGTGTAGTGGTGAACTTCACACTGTTGATAAAGGCGCCGTCTCCGATGATCATGTTGATGGTACATGCTGGTGAGGGTGGTTTGGGTGCCCCTTGATGCTCGCGCCCTCTGGAGAAATTGGTTCTTCCCTTATCGCTTAGCAGCTCTTTAAGATGTGCTTGATGTAGCATGTTCACGACCTACTGCCTTAGGGTGATACAATCTTTCGTTTTGTGCCCTCGTTCCTGGTGGAACTCACAGAGTACGTCAGAATTTCTGGTATTAGGGTCTGATCTCATCTTTGGCGGCCACTTCACTTTTGGTCTGAGCTTCTCTAGGGCGTAGAATATCTCTGTAGGTGACACAAAAATTATGAGCAAACAGTAGGGGGCATACCTCTATAGTTCCGATGAGTTATCGTCCGTGATCTGGATGGACCTTCTTCGTAGCGAGGGGAGGGGGCGGCGACCGTCCTGATGTATGGTTGGTGCCGCTCCCTGTTAGGTCGTGGGATCGGGTGATCTCTTCTAGCGTTGTCTCTTCGATCCTTTCTTGACTCCGCTTATACTGAGGTTAGCCGGTAGGTTTGCCCGTTGAGGTCGTCCTCATCTGCATGGACTTCGATACAATAAGCATTGTGGATTTCGTCCCAAGTGGTTGGGGGATACTTCATCAACCGGCTTAACAGTTTCCTCGTTGCTCTTGAACCATCCCTGCTCAACCCGTTCTGAAAGGTTGCGGCTGTCATCCCTTCGGACACGTTTGGTAAAGTCATCCCTACTCGGTTGAACCGGGCGAGGAATTCCCTCAATCCCTCTCCCACAGATTGTTTTACGACGAATATGTCGTTCACTCTTGCCTCAGCTTTTATGGCTCCGGTGTGGGCCGTTACGAACTTGTCGGCCATTTCTTCAAAGGTTTCATTGGAGCGTGCTAGTAGCTGTGAATACTATGTTAATGCTCCACCAGTGAGGGTTTTACCGAACTTTTTCAGCAAAATGGAAGACACATGTTCCTTGGCGAGGTCGTTGCCTTTTACGGCGGTGACGTAATGAGTCACATGATTTTTGGGGTCGGTTGTGCCGTCATATATCCTGAGGTAGGACGGCATTTTAAAGATTTTTGGTATAGCATGTGGGGCTGCATAATCACTGTACGACTGTTTAACGAACCGGCCAGCATCCCTATTTGGAAACAGCTTGGGGGCACCCAGTATTTTATCGATCCTTTCTTGGTGTTCTTTTTCTCCATCCTTTTCAAAATGGCTACGAGGGTGTTGTCACCTGTACTATTAATGGCATTGTGAGTAATACTTGTCGTTGGAGGAGGAGGGAGTTGGTTACACTGTTCGTCTGTTGGTTGTATAATGCAAGTCCTTGCGTTTTCTGTAGCCGTATCTCGGGCGGGCTTGTTGAGGACGCCGGTTAGCGTGTCAGTTAGCCATGCTTCAAGGAGCTTTTTTACAGTTGGGGGCGTCTCCTCCCCCACACATGTGGAGGCTCCTTTACCAAGAGATTTTGTGATGCGGCAGTGAGGAGGCGGTGATCCATCTCGCCTAAGGGAGGCACTAGGCGTTACGTCTTCGTCTGCCATTTCACAGCTTTCGTTGATGACGCTCATGAGGTTGGTTGGGAGGTCACTTATTATTCTCGTTCTTTCTTCTCGGTTACCTGCCATGTTGGGATTTGTGCACACAAAGAAAGGAGATCATGTTTTTGCTTCTTTTTTTTTTATACGTTAGTGACCTGTGTTAGTTGTAGATCTAGAAGAAACTAAAAGCTTAACTAAGAAATTCCCACAGAAGACGCCAAATTGTTTGACCAAAAAATATAACTCTTGGTTCAAATAATTAAATTTATGTCATAATGGGTTAAACCTAGTTAATAATAATATTTCTAGATATGAGTTCCGAAAACGTGATTAGCGTCAAATAGATCTAGTAGAAGAATGGCAGCAACATGCAATAACTATTCCAAAAAGTATGAGCAATAATGTAGCATTCAATAGCAATGAATAACAATAAATGACATTTAAGTAAATAGGAGGAGTGATTCATCCAATAAAGGATTAACTAGATGGTTGTTCCTCCCGAGTCCTGACAAAGATGAGTGACAGAATAATCCTAGAATGTTCGAATTATTCTCGGATCTGATGGAAAAGTATGGAACAATATGGATGAGAATCTTGATGAAAATGTAGTGTTTGTATCCTAGTAAGAGAGAGAAAAAGAATCTTTTGTCAAAAGACTGTTCTTTTTCAAATGAATGTCCCATGCCCCGTATCATTGTCTCTTTTTCTATTTATATGAGATATTTTCCTAGTAAACCCTAATAGTACAAGTGTAGAGAATATCCACTAGAATATTCTCTTTAATATCCTTTTTCGAAAATTAGTCATTACAGCTTCATCAACGGTGCTCGACCTCGGCCATTATTGACATCTCGACTATGAGTCTCGCTGCTTCTTGGTCTACCTCGAATAACGACGGCTCGAAGACTCTTTTTTTAGTATTATCTTATCTTAAATATTCTATGACAGATTTTGACCCATACAACTAGAATATACTATTAAGGAATAGTAGAATTCCAAATTATTCTAACAGTATATCAATATTTAATCATAAAATAGAATATACTATTAATGTGCTATACTATTAAAATGTGTTGGTTTGAATATTGTATTCTAATATTTATTTTGGTTTGAATATTGTACTCTAATATTTATTTTGGCTTGAATATAGTATTCAAAATTAGAATATTATGGTATGTTTGGTTTGAATATTATATTCTAAAATAGACTATTGTGGTATGCTTGATCTGAATATTATATTTTTTATTAGAATATTGTGGTATATTATTTCGAATATTGTATTCTAATATTTATTTTGGTTTGAATATTGTACTCTAATATTTATTTTGGCTTGAATATAGTATTCAAAATTAGAATATTATGGTATGTTTGGTTTGAATATTATATTCTAAAATAGACTATTGTGGTATGCTTGATCTGAATATTATATTTTTTATTAGAATATTGTGGTATATTATTTCGAATATTGTATTCTAATATTTTGTATTTGGTTTGGATACTATATTCTAAATTAGAATATTGATAATAATAATAATATTCCAATTAAAACTTATGAAAAAAAATACTAAGATCTAATATAATAATATTTGCAGGGATAAGTGAAATTGATCCACGTTGCTAAGATTCAAAATACAGTTGATTCATAGATTGCACGTGGAGTTTCAGCCAATAATTTCACTCCTCCCGATTGAATTTCAATGGGAAAATAAACTTCATCGCCCTTTCCAAGTATTTTTTTCATCGCTATGGCAAGCTAATTTTCTCTTCATCCTTTCCTCCACTATCTGCTAATTGCTTGTGAGGAAAAAACTTGAAAGAAGTGATTGTGTGATAGTTGAAAAGAATAAACCAGGGGTAAAAATCATTTTGATCTCCCAACTTCATCTTAAAAATTGAACTCCTCCTCCAACATTAAACAATAGATATTCTGCTCCTCGAAACTCAATTATATTTTTAAAATGCCTATTTTATCCTCAATTTTATCAACCTTGGTCGATTATTTTTTTTTTTTTTTACCTTTTTAATATCACGATATTTTTCTTAATCTATGTTATGAAGTTACCTATAGTAAATATTTTTTTCAAAAATTTAAAAAAAATCAATCATATATAATTTATTGAAATTGAATTATGAAAGAAATAGACACAATTAAGAAATTAGAATAAAATATCTTGTTAATATCAATCAAATAAAAGGTAGCGCGGTAATATGAAAAATAATAATAATAAATAGTGTTAGATTTTATAATAAATTCCTAAAAGATTACATATTTATACGTTGGATGTTATTTAAATTACAATTAAAATATATTTTGTTAATATATTTTAATAAAAGGAGTAACGTTAAATTTTGTTACAAATTCATAAAAGTAATATTCTAGTTAAGTTTTATTGAGATTTAATTATAAAATTCATAATAAGATATTTAGTTAAGTGTTTTATCTATTTAAGTATAACAAAAAATGGTATATGCATAGAGGAAGAATTGAAATTGTCATGGGTAAAATAGACAATGCATATGATAGGAGGAGCAGAACATCTATTGTCTAAAGTTGGAGGAGAAGTTTGAATTTTAAGGCAAACTTGGGGATCAAAATAATTTTCACCCAATAAACCAGTGAAGAACCAGTTTTCTCAAAAGAGGAAATATTTCCGTAAATGATGCTTAATAGAATTTTGAGAGATATGGTATTATCACAAGGAAATGTTTATTGAAGATACGTGAAAGAATCTTTGAGATAATCTAGTTCCTTAAAAGGTAGAATTTGTTTAATGACATATAATGATATTAAAGATTTAAAAAGTAAATAAGTTTTATAAAATAGATATACAAGGTAAAATAAATATTTTAAATGTATATGGAGTTAACTGGTATTTTCAATAGGTATACCGCGTAAATTTCTCAAAATTGCTGTGAATTGCTGTTTCGGGAACGTGCGATACACTTCTCACATAGAGGGGTAAAACTTAATAAAACATTAACCAAATCTCTCTTTCCATTATTACTTGATAGAGAGGTATATTTACTCTCAAGATCACGAACTTCTTATATTTGAAGATATCAAAGAGTAGGCATGTACTGCGGGTCGATCATGTGGTCTGCATTTTTTTCTTTCTAAAAGAATAAAACCAAAGAGCCAAAATTTAGTCATTCGAGTTAACTAACGTTTCTGATATACAATAGCGAACATGATGTTTTTTCAGTAGGGACGAGAATTATACAAATGGCTAATTCAGTAAGGCCAATGTGCCAATCACGTGCACTCAAATAAAGAGAATGCTAGCGCAAAATAAAATAACATAAATGTTTAATACAGAGTGAAATCGTTGAATCAATCATATTGTTGCAAGAGACCATATAGCAAAAGTTCAGTTACAAATACACATCTATCTTCCCAGAAACCTATACTTTGACGACATTGCACATGGAATTCGACAACACAGTAATAGATGTGGATCTCTGTCCACATTTCAGCAAGTCCAAATCTGATCACGACAACACAACATTGCTTCTTAACTTGTTAATCGGCACGAATGTAAGTCTATAGTTCCTTTAGTTCAAGTTCATAGGACAACAACCACTGCTTTGTTTTCTGTACATCTGCACAATGTAACTTCACCTGATGGTTTGTGTGTCGGCAAGAGATTAAGCTATTCTTGAATATTTCGAAGGGACAGATTATACAAGGGAGAAAAGGAGACCACTTCAAATGCAACTAAATTTTTGCCTTAGCGGGGTACCCTCTTTCTACTCAGTATTTCCTGCTCTTTCAATCGATGCTGGAATCTGGAAAGGCGAGCCTGAAGGCTAACCAGGCTTGCTGCTTTTCGTGACAGCACATAGCTCAACTGCGATACATAATTGTCTATTAGACTTCCAGGCTGATCTACTTCTGCCAGCAGTTTCATTTCCTGGTAGAGAAAAGGCAACATATGTTAATTATCTTAAGTGAATAGCTTATACTCTTCTTTCTTCTGGGTCCAACCTTTCATTTGTATGTTGATCGGTAGTCAGAGGACATAATAACAAGTTCACTACATATGGCTATTCCCTCGTACAATAATCACCCTTAAAGATGGGGACAAAATTTCAAAACTATAACATCTATTTTCACAATGCTGAAAAAAAATCTTTTAGTTTGTCTCGAGCGAGAGCAAAGACAGAAATAGGTGACAAGTCCTGGATGAGCAAAGTAGCAACTAAGTGATAAAAATCCTACTACCCTCCTCTTAAAATCCAAACTTTAAAAGCCAAGAGATATAAAAATGCCAGCAGATAGTATAGTTTTAGAGGGAGACGAATGGATAAAGATTAAAAAGAAAAAGAAAAAGCATAACTTTGTGCAGAAAACCAGCCTAAGACTTTTATAGTTTCACAAACAAAGCATCCGGACTCTTAGTGAGCGCAGTAGAGCATCCACGGAAAATGCCAAGGAGATACCAGAATTAGGATAGAACTCAAGGAAGATGACTTGTAGTTAGGTTTTGGCAATAGTCATGCACGTTGTAGAAATGCAGGAACCTTCCCGGACACACCTATAAATATTCCTAATTTGCAGGGAGATAAAAGTATTAAGAACTTTATAACAATGATTTCGCTTACTTCACGAACAATATCCATTGTATCTTCAATTTCTTTCCTGTGCGCAGTCATCAGGGCTTCTTCTTCCTTTACAACAAAAAGAGGAAAAGTACACAAATGTGAATGTAAGGTCATAACTGTTATTAGTAAGGATATCTCATGAGATAACAAGTAAAAGGACATCGAAGTCTAACCTGCAGTAATTCATTGATATTCTCATCACAAGGGGGTGAACTAGGTTCATTTTGTCCCGACCCATTACTTTTTATATTGGGAATACTTGCGCTTTGCTGTTTATAACTTGTTGAGAATGAATCAGAGCTTAATACATCTTTCCTTGACCATTTTCCTGGCTTTTCAGGTTTCTCATCACGATAAACTTTCCTCCGAGGTGGAGACACTTTCTGCACCTTGTCCTCTGTATCAGTTGAACTCTGCAAATTTGATGCCGAGATCATTCTTTGACCAGCGGGAACACCATAGCTATTCTTAACCTCAAACCTGTCCCCATCTGTACCACCAAAATTTGACCCACCTTCCTCCTGACCATTAAAAGTATGATTTGAAGAAAATCTAGAGGTTTGTTTATCGAAATCATTTGTGGAATTGTATGATGTGCTTTCTTTCTCCATAACTCTCCTACTTGCTTCTGATACTCTAGATTCACGGGGTTGCTCATAAGCATTTTCTGCCTCAACAGAAGCAGCGAATGTAGTCGCTAAAGGAGGTTCCTTGATTATAGGAGGTATTATGCTTGCACTCTGATCTTTTTTGGTGTTTCCGCCTTTGGATAGACTTTTAACCCTGTAAAAACAATGTCAATAGGTTCATCGATATAATCAAATGAATAAAACATTCAACGTGTACAAACAAGACAAGAGCTACCTGTCAGCATATCTCAAGGTATTTAGTGTATGTTCACATGATCCAGCATTGGGAGAAATGCAGGAAATCATAACAGTTTTTGAGTTGCCAACAAAGGAGTCACGAAGCACTTCAGTGAGTTTGCTCCCACGGAACGGGATATGAAGCTGATCATTGTCAAGAGCACGAATACACTCTTTAAGGGCCAACAAGCTCTTATTAATTTCTGCTCCCTCAATCCTAAAACCAGACAAAAATGAAGATTTCAGAGTATTCTACTTCAACATATTGGCAGCAAAGGGCCATAAAAGTGTTGGATTTTATATTNGGCCAAAGTGAAAACTCAGTACATCTCTACAATAGAACTGAATGTACTTGGCACAGTCAGGATCTTTTCCAGAGTTAAAGAAAACCATTCCTTGAGCATTAATACAGAATAGTAATATGAAACATACAACTGTCTTGAACTTCATCCAAAACAAAGCCATACAACTGTGTTGATCACCGTAGCCTTTTCTCCTTACTGGAGAATCAATCAATACCATAGGAACTCCAGCTTGGCCTACGCTCATTGTTCAGTGTGGTGGTTCGACATGTAACTTTATGAAAAAGATTTCTTAACCCATTTTTTTCTGATCCTTCGAGAAAAAGATTCATTCTCTTCATAAAAAATAGGAGGTAGAACCAATAAAGATTTCTTTTTCGATTCATCCCTGGCCTCATTCAAGAATTGTTTTTGATCCAATCCGCAGGAATCAATAGAAAAGGCAAATCCCTTATGATACACCAGATCCGGCTCGGTTATTGATAGAGTGAATAGATCTGCCATTTCTTGAAATCTCTCTTCTGATTCAAAATCGTAGTGTAACGTGTATCCTCCCCTGTTCCGGTCATGGAATAGATGAAATAAATCAAAAAATGGATTTTTGTTCAAGAATGAAATCTTATTGGAACTGTCCATATCCGGTTCATCCTTCNTCCCTTTTTTTTGATAAGTCAAACTTTTCGAAATAGATGCAATGAAGCAGACTAGTTCAACCTCTAAAGAAAAAAATAGAATGAAGAAGTCCAAAAAGATCCAGGAAAGGAATATACAAGAGCAGCCAGATGCATTCATAAGAAGGTACCTTGTCTGTCTGTCATTATCAGTTGTGTCCGCTCCCCTCTCACTACCAGCAAGGTCAATAAAAGAAATCTTTCCGACGACTTTCCCACCCTTGGATTCATTTCCATCATTATTTCGCCTAGAGTCCTTTACTTCATTGTGTTTCTTGATGACAAGTTGTAATATCGCGTGTGATCTTGATGATTCCTCATTTGCACCAGTGGAACCTGTACTTCTTGCAGCACTTCCCCTCTCAATATACTCTTTCACAACCTGCACATCTGAAACTTCAAATTCCTGGAGCCCAACGATGCAAACCTGCTGACGCCCATCTTCTCTCATACAAAGTTTCCTACATAAGAGCAAAGCAACAAATGATAAGAAAATGACCAAATATACATGTTTCAAACATGAAGCTCCATATTGGTGAAACAAACTATAAGAAAGGTTTGACAATGATTTATTCTTCAATAAGTTGGACAACCAGGACACCTGAAAATGACATTGAAGTGCTGGCAAGGGCAGAGAGTGGAAAAGAGATGAAGACATAATTGGAAGATCACACCTTTATGCTTATTGTGGACTGTTTGGGTAGAGAGGTGTTAGTTTACAGCATGTATATAGTGTAGTATTGTCCCACATTGGTAGAGGAATAGTATGTCCTTGTATAGTATAGCTATAAATAAGGACCTCTTGTATTGTATTGTTCATCTAATATCAATAACATATTTTCTCCCGTGCCTTCTCACATGGTATCAGAGCAATTGTGAGAGACTTATCGCTGTGCATAAATTCCAGCGATTCCGGGAAAGAGAAATCAGTACTTTTTTAAGGCTGTTTTCTATCTGCTTCATTTCTGTCAGTGTTGTGCAAAATCCAACACTACCACAAGAGTCGTCACTGTCCGGCGACCAAACCCCAGTGAAAAGCTCCGGCAGCAGCCTCCTCACGCGCCTCCACGCACCACCAGAAGCTCACACGCGTGAACTCACGCGCCGGCGCGTACGACCACTTCCGGCCATTTTTTGAAAATCTTCCTTCAGAACAGTTGGGTCGCCTGGTAATTCCGATCCTACCCCTATTGTTTTCATTTCATTCCGACAACTTTGAGTTTTTTTCCGGCAGCTACAGTACTATTCCAACAACTACAGTAGATTCCGGCAACTACAGTATTTCAGTATTCTGTTTCTGTGTTTCCATACACTGTTTCAGTGGATTACAGTTGATTCTTTCTCTTATTTGGTAATAATTTGCAACAATGTCTTTGGGATTTGATGCTTTTGGGTCTAGAAACATGAGTTCTGGAAGCTCTAGTGCTATTATTACCTCGGAACCTTTAATGGGAGGTTCAAACTACTTAGCTTGGGCTTCATCTGTCGAGTTATGGTGTAGAGGTCAAGGTGTTCAAGATCATCTAATCAAACAGTCTAGCGATGGAGATGAAAAGGCAATAGCACTTTGGGCAAAAATCGATGCTCAGTTATGTAGCATCTTGTGGCGATCTATTGATTCCAAGTTGATGCCCTTGTTTCGTCCATTCCAGACATGTTATTTGGTTTGGGCAAAGGCACGCACCTTATACACTAATGACATATCTCGCTTCTATGATGTGATATCACGGATGACAAACTTAAAGAAGCAGGAATTGGATATGTCTACTTACTTGGGTCAAGTACAGGCAGTCATGGAGGAATTTGAGAAGTTGATGCCAGTTTCTGCTAGTGTGGAAAAACAACAAGAGCAGCGACAGAAGATGTTTCTCGTTCTTACCCTCGCTGGACTTCCTAATGATCTTGATTCAGTACGCGACCAGATTTTGGCTAGTCCGTCTGTCCCGACAGTTGATGAATTATTCTCTCGATTACTCCGCCTTGCTGCAGCACCAAGTCCACCAGTGAGCTCATCACAGATACTTGATTCCTCTGTTCTTGCATCCCAGACAATGGATGTTCGGGCATCTCAAACTATGGAGCATAGACGAGGAGGAGGTCGTTTTGGAAGATCTAGACCCAAGTGTTCTTATTGTCACAAACTTGGACACACTCGTGAAATGTGTTATTCCTTACATGGTCGTCCACCCAAAAATGCTTACATTGCTCAGACCGAGACTCCAGGTAACCAAGGATTTTCTTTATCTAAAGAAGAATATAATGAGCTCCTTCAGTATCGAGCAAGTAAGCAGACATCTCCACAAGTAGCCTCAGTTGCTCAGACTGATACTTCTGTTACTGGTAATTCTTTTGCTTGTGTTTCCCAGTCTAGCACTCTTGGCCCATGGGTCATGGACTCCGGCGCTTCTGATCACATCTCTGGTAATATATCACTTTTGTCAAATATTGTATATTCACAGTCTCTTCCCACTGTTACTTTAGCCAATGGATGTCAAACTAAGGCAAAAGGAGTTGGACAAGCTAATCCCTTGTCTTCTATCACCCTAGATTCCGTTCTTTATGTCCCTGGCTGTCCTTTTAGTCTTGCATCTGTTAGTCGTTTGACTCGTGCCCTCCATTGTGGTATATATTTTATTGACGATTCTTTTATTATGCAGGACCGCAGTACGGGACAGACAATTGGTACAGGACGTGAATCAGAAGGCCTTTACTACCTTAACTCACTCAGTCCTTCCACAACATGTCTAGTTACAGATCCTCCAGATCTAATCCACAGACGTTTAGGACATCCGAGTTTATCCAAACTTCAGAAGATGGTGCCTAGTTTATCTAGTTTGTCTACATTAGATTGTGAGTCGTGTCAACTTGGGAAACATACCCGAGCCTCCTTTTCGCGTAGTGTTGAGAGTCATGCAGAGTCTGTCTTCTCCTTAGTTTATTCTGATATATGGGGTCCTAGTAGAGTCAGTTCATTCTTGGGATTTCGTTATTTTGTCAGTTTCACTGATGATTATTCAAAATGTACTTGGTTTTTCTTAATGAAAGATCGTTCTGAGTTATTTTCTATATTCCAGAGTTTCTGTGCTGAAATCAAAAACCAATTTGGTGTTTCTATTCGCATTTTTCGCAGTGATAATGCCTTAGAATATTTATCTTCTCAATTTCAGTAGTTTTTGACTTCTAAAGGAATTATTCATCAGACATCTTGTCCTTATACCCCTCAGCAAAATGGGGTTGCTGAGAGAAAGAATAGGCACCTTATTGAGACTGCTCGCACACTTCTAATTGCATCTCGTGTTCCGTTGCGTTTTTGGGGCGATACAGTTCTCACAGCTTGTTATTTGATTAATCAGATGCCTTCATCTCCCATCAAGAATCAGATTCCGCATTCAGTATTGTTTCCCCAGTCACCCTTATACTCTCTTCCACCTCGCGTTTTTGGGAGCACGTGTTTTGTTCATAACTTAGCCTCTGGGAAAGATAAGTTAGCCCCTCGTGCTCTCAAGTGTGTCTTCCTTGGTTATTCTCGTGTTCAGAAGGGATATCGTTGTTATTCTCCAGATCTTCGTAGGTACCTTATGTCAGCTGACGTCATATTTTTTGAGTCTAAACCTTTCTTTACCTTTGCTGACCACCATGATATATCTGAGGTCTTACCTATACCGAACTTTGAGGAGTTTACTATAGCTCCTCCTCCACCTTCAACCACAGAGGTTTCATTCATACCAACCGTTGAGGAGTCTAGTGTTGTTCCCCCTAGTTCCCCAGCCACAGGAACGCCACTCTTGACTTATCATCGTCGTTGGCGTCCTCCATCAGGCCCAACTGGTTCTCGTCCTGCACCTGACCCTGCTCCTGCTGCGGACCC